TTTAATCACAACACCAGGTTTTCACTTCTCTCTGTAGTTTTCCAGTCAGCCGAGTCTTTTGTGCTTTACCTTCTTTCAATCTTTACCGTTATCCCATCCCACATTCACATTTCTGTAGCAACCCAGTTACACCCTGCATTTTGATTATGCGTCATCACTTTGTCCTCCACTTTCTTTTCATTTCCAAAATTCAACCATCTCTTTGAATTTCCCTTTTTTAATCTATAGCCAATTTTTCACACACAAAGGTCTTTGCTATTTTTAGATGAACGCAGCCTTCTGCTGACTTCAGTTAATGGGTACTTCCCTTTGCCACTTTATTTCTTTTAAACCTCAGTGACATGCAGACGTACCTCTCAGAGTGGGGGAAGACAAAACAAAACAAGACAGACCAGTTTGTATTTATTCACATCTGCATAGTTATTTAATAGCCACGAGCAAGGATATTCTATGGGTGTGTAAACATACCTTTACTATATGCTACAGAATACCTATATCAACTTCCAGCGAGAAAGACAGTCCCTTAAGTTGTGAAGCTGTGGCATAAAACGTTCATGAAAAGAGCTCGTCTTCTATTTCCGAACAGCTGGAAAAGCCGGGAGCGAAGCTTGTAATCAACCACCAGGAAGGAAATGATTTTGCAACTCCACCTAAGCAAAACACATTACCTGTCTCATCAGCCTTATAATAGCTTTCCAATGTTAATACTTACATGGCAGTACACATGAAGTCAGCTTAGTGTCCTCCTCTGCCTGAACCAACCAACTGGATAAAAGGGACTTTTGTGGAAATGTGGCTAAGTACTTGTCATCTGCTTCTATACAAGGAGGAGGGAGGAAAAACCCTACCCCCAGTATCATCACAAGGTGAAGAAAACATCCTTAAAATCCTCTAGGTAAGTATAGCATCAAAAGAGACTGTCAGCACATTTCTGACGGCTGATTTCCTGATGTAGGATACGAGCAGGTCAAATAAGCCTAAAGAAAGTTTGGCTCTTGTATTCACAGTTCACAGAGCTGATGCAAAAATCTCACTGCCGCAGAAGGGTAACTGGTATACTTCAAAAGAGAAATCCAGAGGAAAAAGTAAAAATAAACCCCAAGCACCAGCTGATGATGTCAACTAATTCTCTCCTTATTCCAGACTGGAAACTAACCAAAAGAAGGGAGACAAAGAGGGGAACAACCAACATTTTAGCAATTAAAGTTTATTAAACTCTTGAGGCAGTGAGACACACAATGAGGTGTTAAAGTCAGTGGACATGAGGCTGCAGCACACCAGCAGTTAAACCCTCTCCTTCCCTCTCTCCAGCTCTAAGGATGACAGTCAGATCTTTAACTCAGAATGGCAGAAAATGTAGTTCAAGGTTACCAAAGCCCCAGAGCGCACAAATGAAAACCTCCTGGGGAACTGGCTGCAGTCCCTCCACTGGAACAGCAGGCTGTAAGATGGGGGCAGGAGGCAGAGTCCTTACCATCACATGGCTGGTATAGCAGAGAGCAAAACAAAACCAAAACAGACTTGCTGCAAGGTGAAAGTGACGTAGGCCAGCAGTCAGAACATCGTATCAGATAAACACTCAGGTTGGGACAGATAATGAAATAATACAATGTAACCTCTTATGTAAAAACATGCAGGCCATAAAATTTCATTCAGACCAGAGAACACCACCATTACAAATTCTGGGCCTCATCATTTGATGGGATTGTAAACAATCTCCCTCAAATTACTTCCGTATCAGGACCAGTAGCTTCCAACATCTCTAAACATTCTCTGCTTTTATTTATACCATCTTACACCTACCCAGTTTTGAGCAGCACTTCTCATATGAACATCTTCACACATCAGTCACTGGAGAAACCAGCAGCAACTGAACAGATACCCAAGCATAAACATGATGAGGTCAGCCAGAGTCTGAGGCACTGTGACACTGGCACAAAAAAAGGTGGAGGATTCCCATTGGTATTCTAATGATGTTATAATCAGAAACACATGTAATAACCTCCTGAAGCTGATGAAAGAATCCTGTCTGGAATTTTCTAACTGGAAAAAACATACAGGAGCAGGTGTATCTTAGTGCATGGAATAGGTTAGCAGTTTCACTTACAGGCAAAAGAAGTCTCAGACTTTCCCTGCTACCTATTCATCCTTTTCCCACCCTATAAACCCTTCCTAGATGATCTTAAGGTCCTTTCCAACCCTAACCATTCTACGATTCTATGATTCCTACACACAACAAACCTCCACTGTAGTGTGTCCAGCAACAGCCAGGGTGCTCAGTACCCTGCTTGAGGCTTCTGCTCCGAATCAGGCAGAACAGAAACTCAGGTCCAAGTCTCCCTTCTTTTAGAAGATGCCCCAGCTATTATTTACCTATTCCTGGGAGGCACCTTGGGCACATTTTGATCAGAAATACTGTCCAAAACCCTTAAACGTCTTTTTGTAACCAGAAATTGTTTTCCTTTCCAAGAAGTTCTTCCCTGGCACATCTATTGTTTGGACATTGTATCTCTGCTAGAGGCAGTGCCAGAGGCACACAAACCCCATCAAACATAACAGAATCAAGACAATAAATGTTCAAGATTATGAGAGCTAGAGAGAAGTGATGAAGCTTTTCAATTTCAATTCCATATAAATTGAAAAGCAAGCAAAGCAGACAACAACAACAAAAAAAATCACCTTAAAACTACACTGTAGGAGCTGGACTTAGTCCCTGCCTCAGGCGAGTGTCCTACTTCCCTATGACACCAAAATAAGTGAGTATACCCATCTGATGCAGTTGATTGGAAATACTAATGGTGTACAACCCACAGACCCACAAAATGAAAAAAAGATTAAATATTCAAGTTGACAAGGGCATTGTTTTCAAAACAGAAGGTTCCAATTTGTTCTCCTACTGCACCATTTTCATTACCCTCACAAGAGATGGGAGCCCTGTCCCTGCAGGGATATCCATCCTTCCATATGAAGCATTTCTTCATGGAGATGTGAAAAATGAAGTAATCAACATTTCCCATTTTAAAGTAGAATCTGGTTTTATTCAACACAGGACTGTAAATGGATAACATTCACAACAACCAGCATTAAAAAACCGAACCTTACAGTCGTACTTAAATTTCGCTCTACATACTGGTCACTCACATTTCTACATATAAAATTTTGTCAAGTCTTGTTCATTTCCAGATTAACAGATATTGACACCCAACACTAACAAAACACACAGTTTATTCACAACTTCTAGGGGACTTCTAGGGTTGTTAAAAAAGAAAAGCAAATCTTTATCTTTTGTCCCAACATATTCATCACTGGGAGGAACCGAAATGCTGTACATTAGCACAGAAGGAGACATCAACTCACTAAGAGCCCTAACTCCTGCCTACAAAGGGCTCAGCCCAGTACCTCCAACACTGTCATCATCCCATACCCAAGTCACTGCAGTGCAAAAGCTATTCAAATAAATAAATAAATAACAGCAGCAGCCCAACAAGTAAAACCCAAGACACAATTAAATACCTTTACAACCTCTAACTGTTAGATACAACCGAAAGCTTTTTAACCGAACACTTCAGCCCTTAGGGGCCTCTCAACATCTGAGTGCAGCAGACTTTAAACTGTTTTGATAAACTAGTATAAAGGTCTACATACCTTTTTGGGGGGAAAGGGATCTGCACCTTCAGCTTAAGCCCCCCATTCTTCCTTCTTCACACAGCCACTGAAGGTGTGCCAATACAACTGTTTTGGGGTTGCAGTGTTACTCTTCCCCCCATGAGAGGATAACATCAGTCCCCTAGTCTGGCTGTAAGTCCCCAGGGTCAGCCTAGCCAAATGAGGAGCAGTGTTCCATGCCACTGTAATAGGAAGTCCTTCCAAATAATATTACTGAAGAATTCTGTCATATTCAACTACTGCCTGAAGCCCAAACGTAGCACAGATGTATGAATTCACATGTTCAGCATCCCCACTGGTCTCAACAGGCTTACTGAAAATCTAAAGTTAACCATTCATTTAGGCAACTGCAGGGTTGGGGCCTGCATACAGCGTTCCTTTGCAAGGACTTGGTGCCTTCCTTTAGTCTTTTGGGGACTGAGGTTTTCCCTGGTTTTCAACAAAACAGTTAAAAATGAACACATACTGTTGAAGTCAAGCATAAAGCACGGGCTGAATCAAACCAGTGAAGTAACTCATCAAAGACTGAACAATTACTAATCAGCCCTGGAAATTAAATGTTGTGCCAGCATATGGAACACCACCAGTAGCTGATGAGACATTTCTCCACGATATTTTGCGGGACTATTTTAGAACATGCTGCTTTGTTAATCAAGTGTAAAGACTACTACATTGTTTCACAAAACCTGAGAGCATAGTTCAGAACAAGACGTGCCCAGAGCTTTAATAAATACAGTTAAGAATAATACAGTTTAAATTATCTAGCCTTCATGATTTGAGTAGAAATGCCTCATACAAAACCCCCTCCTTTTGACTCTGTACATCTTAAAAAAAAATAAAATAAATCACAGGAACATCCGTTTTGCAAAGGAGATAGCTATACAAAGAAATGATACGTTTTGAAGACATTAAACTGTCTATTCGCTGGGTAACACTAACTACTGAAATGTTCTCTTACAACCTACCACCTAGGTCATTTTTCTTTTCTGATATTTTGGCTCTAAATCTGAAATTCTGAGCCACTTGAAATCAGCCACTTGAAAGAGATTTCTGGTTATTAAGGCCCTGATTTGACAATGACATTCACATGCACACACCAACACTGAAATCAGGGAGTACTCAACAGCGATCACGGTGGCAGCAGGCACTAAAGTAGCTCATCTGATCAATCCTGTAGAGCTCAAGTATGACAGCTCACAGCTCTCTGCTACCCTAAGGGAACACCCTCTCATTTCAACCCAGCCTAGTGGAGCAGCACAACAATTATGTGATGCTCACACAACCAGTTTATAATGCCCTGAAAATTATTAGAGGCCCCCCTGCCCCCCCACTCATAGTCTACTTTTTCTTGCTTAGGACTCTTGCACAATCCTAATTGAGGACTAACACCCATCCAGAGAGTCTGTGAAAACTGCTAACTGCAGAACACCACAAGAGTAAATTCCATTTCATTGCCTACCGAAATGCTGGATGTTGTCCTTGGGATTAGAAGGAGGACTGTAGTTAAAAACTAATCATATGGTAAGGTTATTGTCTGAGCAGCTTCAAAATACTAATAGCAGTGCATCTTAATAACCAGCTGTTATTGTCCTCTATAAAGCGATGCCCTTGATGTGCACGAGATGACATAAGGGATACATACTTTGCTCACTGACATTGGGACTTTTCACTGCTGGACTGTGATGATTTCAACTTCCTTATGCTCTCAGTTTGACTTGTTTTTGGAAAACATAGGCATTTTAATTAAAAACATCCTATGAAAAGAAATAAAAAGGCACTTGGTATTTTTCTTTGGCTCAGTTGAGGCGCACTGCTAAAACCTTCCTAAAGTTCCTGTCTCTTCATCTGATGAATAGTTGCCATCTTGAGGTACTTATTCATGTGCAAAAATAAGAGCTTCAGGGATTTACCAGCTGCATTTTTCGCACTGCTTCCAGTAAACGTGCAAAGTTCTTCACCAAACAGAATCTCTTCAATGCAGAATAATGCATTCCATGAAGTTTGTTTTTCAGGGAATAGCTCTGATCACCGATGAGTCCTTAATCCAAATCTAGTTGCATCACTCAGTGTTCTTTAAACCTGGGAAAGGGCAGTAACCAGGCAGGAAAAGTTGAGGTGTGAGGCCTAACAGTCGCTAACTTAAAAATGCAGTCTCCAACCCAGGATCCATCCCTTGCCATGCATTTTTCTATTCCCTGACCATTTTACTTCTACAAAATTACAACCAAGGGACTGAATTTAGATTTTGTGTATGCAAGTGTAACCCCATTGATTCAGTGGATTTTGGTTTTCCTCAATTCAAAACACTGTAAATTCAGAGCCACCCCTTCCTTTAAGGAGAACCTTTGGAGAAAGTTACATTTGAAACTATTCTTAAACACAGAACAAGCAATTGAGTAGCTCCTTATTCCCCACCTGCATGCTCCATGATGAAACCCAGGAAGATTACGCGTTTGGGCAAAACCAAACTATAACCAAGAGACCATGACAGAGATGTGTTTTCAGCTACTCTTCAAAATAAGATGTACTAAAAATAAAATGTTCATTCATTAGTTGAAAACATCAAACTGAGGTCACTCTTTTGATATGAAATTAAAACATACAGAAATGGACATACAGAAACCTCAACAAGTTCAGTCTAAATCTAGGTATTATGGGGCAAAGTCTTAGTAACATGTTTTGGGGCAAAGTCTTAGTAACATGTTTTTAAACAGTTATTAAAGAGCAACAGGCATGCATAACACTTACAGGGTATGATCTGCATTACACCAAAGTTCCTTCTGAATAAGACGGAGCAAGAACTGTAAAAGCAGTCATGGTATCTGTGTTAGTATCTATACAGATACACAAATAAACTAAGTTTCAGGACAAGATGTTTACTGTTATTCAAAGAGTTCCTCATTTGAAACATTGCCCTGAATTGTTGAACTGGGTTAAGAAAAGAATAATTAAAGGATTTACAAACACTCAATGTTTGGGAGAGGAGTTTTTACAACTTAAAAACAAGCAGAAAATTATTTCCTTTTCACAACTAAGAGATCGATTTTTTCATAAAAAACTAGAGTGGTTTTCCACTTTCTTTACCAGCAGATGGGTAAAGAAACCAGCAGAGGGAACCCAAGACTTCAAGAAAACACGGCAGATAAAGACAGTTGAAAGCATAGCATGTTTTAGGGCATAAGGTATTTTAGCTGCTATTTTGAAAAACAGCTTTATGTATAAATAATAAAGCTTTAATCACACAATTAGTCAAGATGAATAACGTCAGTCATGTTTAATTGCAGGATCAGGACTTTCAAGTGCACTTTAAAAGCTGTACTAAGATAGTACCCAGGAAAGTGATTTTAGAAATAAAATTTTATGATTCCCATACACATTAAAGCCCGAAGTTGAACTTCCAGGGCTCCTCACTGTTACGGGTTTCCTTATCTTCAGAGTTTCACTCCTGCATATAGAACAATTCAGAGGTATAGGAGTGGTCAAGAATGACAGCACTGAATACCACATAAGAGGTTAAAGCCCCTCCAGATACCTTTGAAGAAATAATGCTTGAACACAGGCATCTATATGCTGTACTGCAAAGAGTGGGAAAAACCGAACATGAGTTACAAAATGCAGGATTTATTATAACAGCACAGAGCCAAGCCTCTCAAAACCAGAGCTTTACAAAGGCATTTTAACTGTTGCTGTAAAGAAACGTGGTTTTAATAAGTAACTATATATGAAAAAGAGCAGAGCTTTAAATTGCCTTGGGAAAACTACAACAATCTCCCAAACCTCGCTCTATGAGCAAGCATGGAACACCTAATACTGAAAACAGCACAAGCAATGATTCACAGAGCTGCTGACTACCAGTTGCAACATATTTCAACATTTAATTACCTAATTATTAACTTATCCAATTATTAGCTTAGCTATTTTAAACTTTTTAATTATTATTAAGTTATCTAATTTATTTACTTAATTTCCAGAGAATTCACATCTTAAATGTGGAAAAATGTACTTTAAAATTTTGGGCTTAACAGAAATTGAGGAAAAAAAGCCTCACTTGTAACTCAAAGCAAGACTTCCTGCTTTTCTTGTGTCAGGAGAGTGGTCTGAGGCACTCAGCATTAGCTCCTCTGCATGAGAGCAAAGCTCAGTGCAATACTGGGCAGGCACAGGTCTTTGTCTGGTCACAGCCAGTATGGACAAGGAGTACTTCTGACGTGTTTTCACAGTCACCTTGCCCTTTCAGTGAGCACTTCCACCCATGACTTCCAAAGGAGAGGATAAGCAGGTGATGCTTCAGTACTGTCCTGAGGTAGTCATAGCAGCATTCTGCTCTACTGCAGAACAAAGCTTGTACAGACACTTGCCAGAGAAATCTGTGGCAAACACAAACACATAACCTTCAGGCTAACCTACAGGTGGGTGCAGCAAGACTGACTTCAAAGCTACAGCAAGACTTTCCTTGCCTCATGTTGTGTCTTCCATGGTCTTTACAAGCAAAACAGGGCAAGCCAGAAGTGGGAAAAAAACCCAACCAACTTTCCAGATCTTCCTATCAATCATACAGGATCTCCAACAGGAGAAAAAGGGAAAATGGATGTGTTTTGTACCAAGTCACCATGTGTGCTGCAATCCTTTTCCCTAAACATCTGCTCATGGTGACTGTCAAAAGTTAAGATGCCAGTTTTCCGTCAAACCCAGTACAGCAGTTTTAGGGCCCATCTGGAGAATGCAATGTATTAACTTTCAACATCTTCAGTACTGTGGTGATTTTGGTGATACAGCAATGTAGCAAGGCATTTGTTACTACTTCGCTAAACCGGCTCTAAAGAAAATGGAAGTAATTCTTCCGTGAGTGGAATCTGAGGCATCTTCTAGGTCTGTGTATGAAGGTTTACTTACAATTATGCCTGCTGCTATCTGCTCAGCCAGCAATCAACAGATGTGTAGTTGCTTGCAACTGAAGTGCATCAGAACTAATCTACACTTTTGATTAAAATTAGATGAGAATTTCAAAATGAGCAAATTTGCTCTTTAATTGAAGATTTCCTACACAATTGGAAGTTTCTTGTTAAACAGAGTACTGAAATTGCAAAAAGAAAATTTGCATTTTAAGATAGCTTAGCACAGAGGAAATACATGGCAACTAAACAGTATTTTTAGACTTACTAGCAAGGCACATGCATCTGCCATCATGAGCATGTAAAATACGTTGTTCCAACCAGATGGGGAAATAAGACCAGCTAAGAGAGGCCCCAAAGCTGCACCTAAAATATAATATTGATACTGTCAGAATGATGCAATATAAGATTTACTAAGCTGAAAGATACTTATTCTGAATTAGAATATCAATTTTAACTCAGTATTTATCTTATGTATTAAAAGGTTACAGAAAGCTCAAAACATCACTAGTAAAGCTGCAAGCCAATGGGAACCCTACCACAGGTGACGTTGAAAGACTAGAAGTTTGAGAAATGCCTATATTCGGCTCAACAAAATGACCATTCAGTATTAAGCCGAATCCTACTCAATTTTCCCTTCCACGTACCATTGTGGAATCCCTGATCTGAGAAGGAGCCCAGTGGTATCTACTTTTGCTGTTTGCGCCCAGAGTCTACCTCTCTTCCTTCTTTCCTCCCTCCCTCAGGGACAACTAGAGAGATTTAATGCTAAGTTTGCTCTAGTTCTCATTTCCAAAGCTGTACTGCATCCTGGAGAGAGCCCACATTCTCAAAGATGCTTTGTTTTAACCTACCACAACTAAGGCAGGCTACCTTACAGCTCTGGCTTACCTACAGATCCTGTTCCATCGATGATTGCTGTAACTGTGGACAAGGCTCTTGCATTCCCCTTCAGGCTTTTATGGGTACCCTAAAGAGACAAAGACTGCTTAGATCCACCCTGAGCTGAACTCTGAAGTCCTTTCAACATTATCTAACTCACACCCATCCACATTAGATGTACATTGTGAAGATGCCTTGAACATCTCGGATCAGACCCTTTTATCTCTACTTGAACAAGCCTCCTACCCCAACTACCTACTGTCTACAGTGTTCTCCATTATTAAATCATGTTACTTAAACCACAGGAGCCAAGCAGCTTTCTGTTCTGCACACTGTGGATTCAAAAAAGGACAGCACTTCAGCTTTGCATTATGCCTCAAGGCTGTTTCCAGGGCCATCTCTTCCCACTAAGCCCCATGGAACAAAAGAAAAAGAAAACAAAACACTCCTCAACCCAAACAAACAGAAGAAAAACCCCATTGCTGTGGCAGGAACACCAGAATTATGGATATATACTGAAATGCTAATTCAGAGACTTCCTGAGTCAAAAGAAGGCTTTTAGTTCCAATTTTAGAAGCCAGATCTTCAGAGCAAAATAACTGATAAAGGGAGTAACTTAGTAGAAAGACAGAGAAACTCAATAACTTGGAGAACTGCTAATAAGAAACAGTCCTTTATCTCCACTACACTGAGGAGAATCCAGTCAGGTAATCAGTGACTTACATTTGCTTGTTTTAGATGTTTGACTGTTGACATCTGAGGAATTTTGGTTGGCAGTTTCAACCCTCTTCCCAAGGGTCATGTAGGGATCTTGCCATGTCAGGCTGCACTTTCTAGCTAGCGGCCCCTCCAACAAGGTTAAGGATAAAATGGGTGGCTGCCTTTGTCTTGCCAAGCCCCCATGCCAAGGACAGGCTTTCAGAGGAAGCTTGGAGATTTCCATCCTGCTCCTTCTCCTATATTTAGAGTATTTGTTGTTACAGGATTTTCCCCTTTTGCTTGGTGTCTTAAGGAGCCAAAACCTTTTGAGACCAGACTTCCAAAGTGTACCTAATGAAACGTACCAAGGTCAATGTTTTCATATGGCATTTGTGACTTACTGACTGGATCCAGCTGGAAATGCTGGTATCTAGAGTAACTGTATGCTAAAGGGAAGAAGGCAGCATGGACAAAAGTAAAGGTATGTGTCAGATACAGCTTTTTGCACTGATGGGAATTAAGTCACCAGCTCAACTGTCACACAGATACAGCTCCTCCCCTCTTTTAATGATGTAAATTATAAAAGGGGAGAAGGTATTTGTACAGAGACCTGGCTTTGCACGTAGCCTTCACATTGACCTTGGGCTGCCATCTACAAGATTTGGTCTGCCTTATTAGTAAGCAAGAATAATTTAGAAGCCTCTCGCAAGCATGACAATGCATTCACACCAACACACGAACTCCAGAACAATTTCAGTGGCTGAGTTCAGCACCGCCTATTCTGCCCCTTTGCTCTGGGACAACGCAGCCTGTTCACTGATGACCCTGCAGAAGTCAAAGGGCTCCCTATGGAGGCCACAGCTGCTATACTGGAAGCAGAGGGGAAGCCAAACTCACCAAATCAGCAGAAACAGCAGTCGTGATCAGAGCATAAGGGCCATTCACCAGGGCACCACTGATGAGCAGCATCACTGTCGCAAGTTGACAAAAATGGAACATGTAAGTTGCCCAAAAGACTGTTAACCGTAACACAGGAGACATCACAGCCTTATAGTTCTCAAATGCTTTAATCCTTCCTTGACTCCCCGATCCCATAATAGAATTGGGAAAGGAGGAAAAGCAACATACATTCCTACTTCTCTTCAATGCTCACTCCATGATGTGAATTCTCAAATACAGTGAGATAGGGATGAGTTAAAAGGCAATTCCCAGGAACTTTATTGATCCCAGTAGGTCAGAGAAAGGGGAAAATCTGACCAAACTGACCCTAAGAGCAGGGGATCCTCACAGGATCCACCTGTAAATCTCTTCTCTTTTTGTACAGTACCAAGCACCAGAGGGCCCTAAAACTTTACAAGGCCTTTTGGTAGGTGACACACTACTGTCAGCACTTGTGTTACTTCTGTTTTGAGGTAACAGATAGAAAGCCACAAGTGAATTCAGTCTATACAAGTAAAGTTAACATTGCCATCAAAAGGACTTCAAGTAGTCTTTAAACACCTCTGACATTTGGCATAGGGAATATAATAAAGCCTGTGCTGACACAAGCAGCTCCAGAAAGAAGGCTAATAATATTAACTAAATCACTGCTCCCGTGCCACCCTTTACCCATTTCCTAGCCTGCCCTTCCTTACCCTGTTAAAAAGCCGGCAAGACAAAGTCTAGGGAATTTGATTCCAAACTCCCTCCTCTAAGTGAAAAGACAAAATTAAAATAAATAAGTAAAAAAAGACCAAAGGATCATAAATGAAAATTTCACAGAAAGCCAGGCAGAAAATAATTTTAACATACTCACCTATGGTAGCCTCAAGGCCCATTTTACTGACTGTAGAGAACATGTACAACTGTAAAGATGAAAAAACATGCATGCTGAATACCAGCATATGGAGTAATCTTAAATTCCTCATTTCCCCCATGTTTTCCCATTTCCCCATGTTAACTACAAAATATCTTAGCTGCTATTATGTGAAAGCTATTTCTAGGTTTTACTAAATACGCAGCAGGACTGTTTGATTGGACACAGGAGGGAGACAAGGGGTATGCTCCTATTCCCCAGTATGTCCTTTCAGAAGAAAGGGCTGTTTTATGAGATTACTCAGTTTTAAACTCTCAAACTGCCAGCTGCAACAAAGCATAGAATACTGATCACAAAGGAATCAAAGAAAAAATGCCAGTTTTCCAACAGCTACAGCACAGAAATTTTTGCCTTTAAGCAGGTAAAATTCTGGCTAAGAACTGAACATCAAATTTTACATGAGTGACATTTTCCAATGAACAACATGAGACTTTTCTGCTCATTTAGTAAAGGCAGCCTTGATGTCTATAATTGTTCACATGCTCAACTTTCATGCTGGCTTTTAACCTGCCCTGAACTCTCTATATCCAAATTAGAAGATGCTGTCTGCAGAACCTCCCAAGGACTGCTGTCAAAGTCTCAGCCACAGTTGTAAGAGAGGAGCAAATTCTTACTGTGGGTGCTGCAAGCAATAACATCATTCCGCAGGTTGATGCCCTCTTCTCCAGCCTGTCTGAAATCAGGCCTGCCAAAATTCCACCTGAAAAAGACACAGGTGTGTGAGGAAAACACTCTGTGCACGTTTTACACAAAAGACATCAATTACACTTAATGAAACTCAACTGAGATTAAAACATAATATGACTCTTAATGCACAGCAGCACAGAGGATTAGACTGACAACATAATTCACACTTAGCAATACCCTTATTAACCCAGCTGGTTTTGACTTGGAAGATAACAGAAGCAGACAGTTGTTCTTCCTCACTATTTATTCCAAACAAATATCCAGGATGACAGGTTTTGGGGGCAGAATAGAGATGGAAGTTCATAGAATTATATGTATAAATAATTGTTCTGCTGGTTTTGAATGCAAAAACCTTTTTGCCAGCTGCTAAGTGACCTCACTGCTGGCATTTGGGAATCCAGCTGTGTCCAGATGACTCAATGGTCTCTTAACTCCTAACATGCAAGAGTAAACTTGGCTCTCAAGTGCTCTGTCCGCATCGTAGTGCAACCAGGAGAAATGAGCTATTCCAGATCTTGTGGCAAATTAAATACTTTGTTTTCTCTCCAGGTGCTCACTCCAGGCTCTTAACTTTTCCCTACTTCTTGTGTTTGCTAGCAACTGGACACAGAAGTACTAATCAGAGCATGTGGCAGGAGGGGGCCGGAGGCCAGAGGGAAGGAGCTGCCAAAATGATGTAAAGAGAACCTGATACAGGGAGAAGGAAAGGAAGTTCTCCAGATTCTCAAATATCATGGGGCCTGCCTCTCCCTCCCCAGCTGCCCATCTCCAAAGTGCTCATATCCCACTTGAATTTAAATGTAAGTGCCAAAGATCCAAGCAGCACTTTGTTAAGCTTGTATTCACAGGGATATAAGATGCTGCTGCAAGAAGTCATGTCTCTGAGGTTCTACTGACTCTGGCTTCTAGCCGTCTAGGATGAAATAAGAAGTGAGAAATGGCAGAAGTCACATCCAACACAAGACTGGAACAGTTACTGCAACATACCTTGACACCTGCATCTTGAACTATCAGGGCCTCATAGGTCATGATCCAGTGAAACTTCCGAGTATCAGGAACATCGTTTTCCAGTAGACTGAAACAGGGCTTATTTCCATAAGGAAAGTGGGAGAGCTGGAGAGGGGATGGGGGTGTGCATGTGTGTCATAAATCAGCTGGGCATCAAGATAATAATGCTTGCTGGCACCCGGGGAATTACAGACCAGTCAGTCTCACCTCTGTGCCTGGCAAAATCTTGGAGCAGATTCTCCTGGAAGGCATGCTAAGGCACATGAAAATCAACAAGGTGCTTGGTGACAGCCAGCATGGCTTCAGTAAGGGGAAACCCTGCCTGACCAATGTGGTGGCCTTCTGTGATGGGGCTACAGAAGTGATGGACAGGGGTAGAGCAGTTGATGTCATCTACCTGGACTTGTGCAAAGCATTTGACACTGTCCCACACCACATCCTTGTCTCTAAATTGGAGTGACATCAATTTGATGGATGGACCACTTGGTGGATAAAGAACTGGCTGGATGGCCACACACAAAGAGTTATGGTCAATGGCTCAATGTCCGGCTGGAGACCAGTAACGAGTGGTGTCCCTCAGGGATCAGTGTTGGGACCGCTCTTGTTCAGCATCTTTGTCGCTGACATGGACAGTGGGATTGAGTGCGCCCTCAGCAAGTTTGCCGATGACACCAAGCTGTGTGGTTCTGTTGATACGCTGGAGGGAAGGAATGCCATCCAGAGGGACCTTGACATGCTTCTGAGGTGGGCTGATGCCAACCTCATGAAGTTTAACCATGCCAAGTGCCAGGTCCTACACCTGGGTCGGAGCAATCCCAGGCACAGGTACAGGTTGGGCAGAGAAGAGATTTAGAGCAGCCCTGTGGAGAAGGACTTGGGGGTGGTGGTTGATGAGAAAATGAACATGAGCCAGCAGTGTGCACTTGCAGCCCAGAAAGCCAACTGTATCCTGGGCTGCATCCAAAGGAGCGTGACCAGCAGGTTGAAGGAGGTGATCCTGCCCCTCTACTCTGCTCTTGTGAGACCTCACCTGGAGTATTATGTGCAGTTCTGGTGTCCTCAACATAAAAAGGACATGGAACTGTTGGAACAAGTCCAGAGAAGGGCCATGAGGATGATCAGGGGACTGGAGCACCTCCTGTATGAAGACAGGCTGAGGAAGTTGGAGCTGTTCAGCCTGGAGAAGAGAAGGCTGCATGGAGAGCTCATAGCAGCCTTCCAGTATCTGAAGGGGGCCTATAGGGATGCTGGAGAGGGACTCCTCATTAGAGACTGCAGTGACAGGACAAGGGGGTAACAGGTTAAAACTTAAACAGGGGAAGTTTAGGTTGGATATAAGAAGGAAATTCTTTCCTGTTATGGTGGTGAGGCACGGGAATAGGTTGCCCAGGGAGGTTGTGAATGCTCCATCCCTGGCAGTGTTCAAGGCCAGGTTGGACGAGGCCTTTGGTGATATGATTTAGTGTTAGGTGTCCCTGCCCATGGCAGGGGGGTTGGAACTAGATGATCTTAAGGTCCTTTCCAACCCTAACGATTCTATGATTCTATGATTCATTGTGAGCTATGCTGTCTGCACTGGCATAAATTTAATTATTCAGTGGTCACCTCACAAATTGCAAAGAAATGGTCTCGCCCTTACTGTTACTACTATAATCTTCCAATTTTATCACACAGTTTTATAAGGCATCAAAAAACCCACCAAAAAACCAAAACACCTGTGGCCATTCACTTCTGTGCCCACAAAAAGTACCTAACTATACCAGCTGGGATAATTTTGCTATACTAGAGTGACAAAAGAAAACAAAATGATATTTGGATATGTGGAGCGACCAGGACTCATGGGCCAGAGCTGATGGAGCTAAAAGATTCCATAATATTTAGCTCTTGGCTCTGTCACTTGTTCAGTCTGAAGATGTTTTGCTAGGTTTTCAATGTTCAACTCAACTCTCAGCTTATTACCTTTACTGCCACTCTTCTTAAGTAGACATATTGCACAATGACTAATAATAGTACCATAGCTTTTTCTAAACTGGTGTGATTAAGGATGAAATATAATATTAAAACTTACCAAAGATTCCACCCACATCAAACAGTGTGGAAAGGTCCCCAGCTCTTTTGGCATCAAGATGCTCTAGTGAGAGAAGTAAAACATTTGTCTCATTTCCAGACAATAAAACATAGAAACCTCACCACAGTCTTGTCATGTTAGGGTAAACGCATTTTACAACGGTACTGTTTATACACAGGAATAAGCTACCATAAGATGTCATTGTATGAGAAAAATAAGAATGTACCATAAGCGGGTATTCAGGGATACATGCTTTTGAATGCAACCACAGTAACAGCAAGAGACATTTTACCACTTTAACAAACATACAATCATAGAATGATCTGGGTTGGAAAGGACCTTCAAAGGCCATCTAGTCCAACATGCCTGCAATGAAATGGGACATCTTTAACTGGATTAGGTTGCTCAGAGCCCTGCCCAAACTGACATTGAATGTCTCCAGGTATGGGGCATCTACCACCTCTCTGGGCAATCTGTTAGTGTTTCACCACTCTCATTGCAAACAATTTCTTCCTTATATCTAATCTAAACCTACCCTCTTGTAGTTTAAAACCATTACCCCCTGTCCCATTGCAACCCTACTAAAAAGTTTGTCCCTGTCTTTCTTACAAGCCCCCTTTAAGTAGTGAAAGACAATGATAAGGTCTCCCCAAAGACTTCTCTCCAGGCTGAACAACCTCAACTCTCAGCCTTTCTTCACAGAAGTCACAGAGTGGCCCTCTTCCACCAGAGCACAGTAGAGGGGGAAAATCACTTCCCTCAACCTGGTGGTCATGCTTCTTTTGATGCAGCCCAACATACAGTTGGCTTTCTGGCCTGCAAGTACATACTGCTAGCTCACATCCAGCTTTTCATCCACCAGTGCCCCAAGTCCTCTTCCTCCTCAGGATTGCTCATCACTCATTTTATTTATTTCAAGCTCGTATTTCCAGATACTTTGTAGTTGTAATTCTTTATCCCTTTACTGTGATACTTACCTACATTGGTGATATAGAGAGGAAGCCAGAAGAGGAAAGTATAGCTCACCAACTTTGCAAACAGAAGACAGAGGGAGAACTCTATAACTCCCTGAGAGAATAAAAAAAAGTAGGAAGTTAGCACTGTGACAGAGGCTGCTATTTGCTTTCAACGACTATTATAAAAATGGTTTCTAAGAAACACTTAGGCTTTTTATTTTCTCTCAAGTATTTCCAAGAAGCATTTTTCCCCTGAGAGCTCAAAGCTTACAATCAGAGCAGACTGTGGTATTTTACTTTACTTCTCTTAATTGTACTGAATTGACTGAAGAGGGAACATTAAAATGAAGAGGAAGGATTTGATGCTGTTTGGGACACCTGCATCCTCATGTCCAGATTTTTTATATAGTGTTATAGCAGGTTTAGAGTGTATTCAAGAGAAGATGGATTCTTTAGACCCATCCTTCAGATGAGTCTAAGATTTCTCCCTTATCAACTCTTTGCAAAAAGACAGTCAACTAGTACATCACAGTTCAAATCAGTATGTGGCAAGAGCACACTACAAACAGTGCATATGTCTATTTAAAATACCAATTTGTTCCACTCTTTTCTGCAGGGAACATGGAAAATACACTTACTGCAGAGAGCTGTAGCTAAACTGCCAAAATGACCTATCTTTATTCCCCTCACCATCTGATATATTTTTGCTTGAAACAGTATTTATTAAATCTCTGGTTTGGACACCACAATTATCTGCATGGACAGCACACATACATGGCCGGCTATCCTTTACATACAGCTGTAACCCTTCCAAACAAGAGGCAGAAAAAAAAAATTAAAAAAAAACAAAAAAAATCACAGTTAGAGAGATTCCAGGTAGCAGCTGCAGCAATTTTTTTACCCATTACTTGAGGACCAATCTGGTCCTGATGAGAAGATACAGGAATACAGTGGTTGAGTGCTGGAGATTTCTTCCCCTACCTTTATACCTGGTCTGAATCAATGTGCACGTAATTCTACTTGTGCCTCCCATTGGGCTGCTAGGCTTCAAGACCAGAAGACAATGAAGGATAATAGTCCCTGACTTAAAAGAAACTTCAGGAAAACAGTAGTCCAAATGTTTGGGCTGTCTGAAACTTCTCAATATAAACCATGCAAAAGATTTTAAAATTACAGCCGCTCCTCACAGGACATTCCTTCCAGTCTTTCCACCAGTTTTGTTGCCCTCCTCTGGACACATTCAAGGACCTTAACATCCTTAAATTGTGAAGCCCAGCCAGCACAGTGTTCTTGGTGAGGCAGCACCAAAGCTGAATACAGCAGGATAATCACCTCTTGACGAGGTCATTCTTCTGCGCTTGATGCACCTGAGTATTGTTAAAACATGACAAAAGGGCCCTGCCATAACATATGCACCAGAGATGCCAATCAAAGCTTGTGATGCAAAGTTAAACTCATCTGGCACTTCATTTAGAGCTTCATGGAAATATGAATTCTGAGGAATAAACTTCTTAAAGGAACAGTCAAGATATACAAGTAAATGTACTCACAGGTATTCGCAAGGCTCCAAAGAAGCTGATAGCTGCTGTCCTGTGTCTGCTTTCCCCAGTGACCACAGTGCTGGGGTTCAGTGACGTACTACTATTTTCACTGTCCGTAAGTAAATGCTGCACCTCTGGATCCTGTGATTTCCCCCAGAAACACCATATGAAACAGAAAGGAATAATGCATCAAAACATGTATCAGGGAATCCTGTGATTTCCCCCAGAAACACCATATGAAACAGAAAGGAATAATGCATCAAAACATGTATCAGGGAATCAAATAATTCCATTTTTTTTAATCACAGAAAGTTACAGCTTTAAAAAAAGCTTTTTATTTGGAGTTTATAGAGAGTAGAAAGTATATATAGACTACTGGGTGAAAGAAGCCTGGCTGTTTATGTCTGAGTGCATACACTCCACTGTGCAATCAAAATTCTGTTCTATTCTGGAACAATTTCAAATTGCAAAAACCACATATTAGAGTACAATTAGAGTACAATGGAATAAAACAATTTCCAGCTTTCCCTTATGCCACTACATTAATATGGTTTAATTAAGACTGACAATCTACTGAGTACTACAACACATTTCTATACAAAAGCATACATTATCTTCTTTCTGTTACAAACATTAAGCCCATTTTTTAGACTCTGTAACATCATCTTATTCACCGATTTAAATATAGGCCATCCTTCCAATTGAGTTATGGATATTGAGTGCTTTATGCACTTATTTTACATGTCTGTTTCATCTGAACATTACAATCCACAAATTATAAAAGTCTGGAGTTTACCATTATTACCTAAACTGTGAATCCTGAGTTCTTTTCTAGTACTAGGAAGGATTTTACTCTAATAATTCCACTGGCTGCTAAGAATACTTGTGGAGCAAGTCATCACTCAACAAGAACAAGCCATCCCAGTCTAGCCACGAGGATATCTTGTTATTTTTATCCATCCATCACACTGAAGTGAACTCTTGGCATAGAATTGGAAATTTCCATCTTACAGCTGCAGACACAAGAAGAAATTTCAGGTATAAATAGTCCTCAGTACTTCTTATGCAACTCAGAAAAAAGATGGGATATATCTATACTCATTTCCAACTGCTTGCTGAGCAGCTTATCCATAGCTAGTAAAAGTACACAGCTAGGTGTTTTCTACATACTGTCATCTTTCTCCTAATTCTTGTGCATTAGAAGGAAAAGCCTTAGTAAAAAATTAAGCCTCAAGTATGTATTTGGTTGTAGGTTACTAAGGATAAAATACTGGGCTATTCCACTTCCATTTTCTGTTCCATTTCCAGCAGATTAAAACTTTCTAAATAATATTTGGTAAATTGATAGAGGAAGAAAGAAAAAAAATAATCAAGTGCTGAACAAATTTAATTTTACTATTTTACACTCAGCGATTCTAAATAAATTCTGGTTTTAAATAACTTTATTTAGGAGAAGACAAGGGAACTAGAAGTTTCCTAGAAGACTAGGCAGCTATCTGGGCACCTGAACCCAGACACCTGGCATGGTTTTAGAAGCTACCACGCAACATCCAAAATTTTTGTGTAGGATTGGCAGATAGGATGCAGGATTTACAGGAGACCCTGTAGCCTGATGAAGTATTATCTAGAAGAGAGGAAAAACATCTAGGGACCTCTGACATGGCACTGTAAACTTCTGTTATGGCACGAGTCACTCCATCATCATCCGAAGTATTTATCTTCTGTATTACTGGAGCAACTTCAAAACCTCAGCCATTTTAACAGTAGCAATTCAATCCATCAGGTATTAAGACTGAGGGAAAGGGGTAAAGAGAGTAAGAGGGAAAAGGGGAGCAAAAACCCCAAAGCCTTAAGCAGTGAAACTTCCCACTGGATTCAATGGAAGACAATTTTAGATAGTGTCTTAAGTGAGTATCTCCTGCACAATTTGCACAGCAAACTTAACCAGGATTGTCTGACGTAATGCTCCTCATTTCTCAGAGAGGCAGCTCTAAGCCTACTCAGGAAGGGTGGATTAAATATTGAAGCAGAAGTGACCAAAGTCCAAATAATTTATTTAGCAACTCATGCTGTAAAGTTTTATTGACAATATGGGATTTTTATGCTGCATGTAGCTAAATGATAAATAAAACCAGCATTTGTGCTTGGCTGAGACAACATTATTCAGCCTTGCCAGCTTGTCATAGAGTGTGATTAGGCATATGGCACACTCTTGATCTCTGGGGAAGGATTCATTATCCCTCAATTTTGTATAATTTTTAAGAGGCCAACCTGACACAAGCAGTAATGAACACACAGAGGTATGCAGATCACGTAGCAAAAAACACGTTCTGCTTTCAGTCACTGCACATCCTGAGTATTTGCTTTCTTTTTACAGTAATTGAAGAGGTCAATGAAAAATCAGTAAAAGCTGCCATTCCAGTGTGCTTGGAGACCAGCCCATAAATGCAAAACATCTGCTGTTTGTACAGGCACAAAAGCTGACTGCGATAATCAGCTCAGTTTAACTGTAAGACAACCACTGTAAAAAGGAAAGATGTTGAACTCCACTTTGAGAGCAAAAAGATTATCTTCTGTCACTGGCAGAAAATCAGGGGACCCCAAACAGGGACAAAGATTTTTGATGTTTTTTATTAATTTAGCTTTGAGTCTTGTTAAGACTCTGTATTACAAACATATAACTCAGCTGGCAGGATGAAGCACGGGGGAATATTGACAGGATTGCCAGTAAGTGCCCTCATGCTTTGCTGTCCATTGCTGTCTCTGTCCTGCTCACAAGGGAGAACCAGTCAGCATGTGGGGGGTACGTTTTCCTTGCCCACTTGTTATACAGACTCTTTGCACAGTCCTCTTATTGTAGAGGTACTAGTAGATTTAGAAGAGAAATCTTTGTCTACTGATCTGCTGACTGTATTTTAGTTCTATCTTCATGACTTGTCTAAAGACACCTACTTATAGTCTTACATCTTCTCCCCTTTTCCAGTTGGTTGTGAAATAATATTGCCAAATGGTTTCTAGGATGGAGACTGTTCTTGGGCAGCTCAAAATGAACATGAATAGAGTCAGTACAGAGGGGGCTTAAGTTGGACTGATGAAAATTATGAGTGAAATACTTCCTTACCTAAAATTTCAAAACTTTTTCATCAACACTGATTAATACACTCTGTGAACACTCATTAATTCTACAGGCAAAGGATAAAAAGAACAGGAAGTTTCTATTTTCCTGTAAAAGTCTGAAAGCAGCTAAAAAAAATTACCCTCTCAGGATATGGCGTGCCAAGTGTACTGAATACAAAAACAAAATTTCAAGTGGAAATTTTCAGTCAATGTCTGTCTCAAGATAAAATGTCTTTTTGCTCATAAATGTGCAAATCCGGAATTCCATTTCTAGTGAGAATTAATGGCACTTTCAGTTACAAATTTTAAGCAAAATTTCTGTCAATAAGTGCTCATATTTAAGACTCTCTGTCTCCATGTATAATCTTATAAGTACATAAATTTATTACACTAAAAAGGGACAAATGTGAGACTGCAAGGACAAGACAAACATGATGTAAGTAGTTTAAAGATTTCAAAGGGGCTATCTTTAAAATTTGCAGTACATTTCTTTTGTGGAACATGAGGATCACAAGATAAGACCAACTGAGCACTCTACCTTATTCAGCTTGGTTTGCAGTATTTATACTAGATAATGTTTAGTTCCCTTGTCTAAATTTAAATTTGTGTATGAAGATGGAAGTAGATTTTAGCATCATAAAAGGAAGAGCAATCTCTGCCAACAGTAAATCTACTGTAAATAGTCCATGTGAGCATTAGCAAGTCTTCTATACTATTTTATAACAATATGTTTGTTATATTTTACCTGAGGTTTACTGGTTTCCTTAGTATTCAAGTTTGGCATTGGGACTCTGAATCGAGATGCACCATTCAGGAAGGCTTTAGAACTCTTGGGGGAAAATAAAAAAATAATCAAAACAAACCCGCATACTTTTGGTGCTTGTTTTTTAAAGGATTACGTTAGTGTTAATCAGTTTTCTGCAACAAAAGTCTTTGTGCATTGCAACATAAACATAACCCCAAATGGAACATCTTTAATCAAATGACTGCACATTTGGGTTTTTAAAGTCCTTACGCAGACCTATAGCAATGTATATAAAATGCAATCACCAATTTGCTTGAATGCTAACTTCATACTGCTTTTATATAGAGGCAGCATACTTAATTCAGAACACAATCATGCCATCCTTAATAATCATGCCATTCTTAACTTCTTCAGCTGCTTTGTCCTCTACTGAACTTTCATTGACATGGCAAACAGTTTTTTTCTCTCGTAAGCAGATGATCCTACATGGAGCAACTACAGAAGTTGATTTATTTCAGGAAATCTCTGATTCTTCATTTCCCTGCCTCTTTGAGATTAAAGCTTACCCTTTAGCTTATGCTCACTGTATTCTTCTAACCCAGAAATAGACTGTGTTCTTGTTGAAGAGTCTGAGCACCTCCAGTATGCTCAGTAGAGAAACTGAAGCCCCAGATGAACCTGCTTCTTATACTTACTTATTTACAAGTGCACTACTGTATCAATTCACACCAAAAAAGGCATTCATTGGAAAACATCAACCTGAGATCCTTGGTCTAAAAAATTTTTCAGGGACATTAAGGTTTGTTTGCCGAATTAAATATACAACTTCAAAGTAGGTTTGCAGTCAGGTACATATAACCTATTGCTAAGACCTCAAGAGGTATTGTGCATTCCTCAGGGATGAGATATTTGTGTGTCTAATCACACTGTAGGTGCCACATTAAAACAGAAAAAAAACCAAACCCAACAAAACAAAAAAAAAAAACCAAACCCTGACCCAAATAATCCCCCAGAAACACCACCACAAATAAAAAAAGAATGCCCATCCTCACAGAACATTTTAATTCAAAGTTAATCACTAGATAATTCTTCTTCAACAAAAATACAAGGGTACGTATTGCAGAATTCTTTAGACAAACTGCCATTCATCAATGAAGTCCTTCTAACGAGACAAAAAACTTCTGAGGACAAACGAAAGCAAGAGCTGATGCATGAGCAGTCTCAGGCATGCATTCCCCAAAGCAAACAAACAACACTCAAAGGCCCAGGATCTGATAAAACAGATTTAATTTTTATCTTACATGAAATTAGGCTCTTGTCAAAAAAGTGATTCATAGTAATCTGTGGGGAAGAAAATCCAGTATCTAGAGACAAGTCATTTCATCTTTATTCAGCAGCTCAGCAGAATAAAAGAAATGAAAGACTTTTTCATTTGACTTCAAAAATAAGATTTACCATGGTAAGGAGGAAATGTCTGGGGAAAAAGACTAGACTGAGAGGCTGCACATTTAATACTTAGACTTCTTTCTCCTTTTCAAAAGGTAAGGATTGCAGCCTGGTATCTTTTAAATGCACTTTTGTTACAGGAGTTTAAGAAAGCTAAGTTTCCTGGAAATGCAAAGTCAGGCTAAAGAAGTTCCTAGAACATAAAGGTCTGTATGAACATGCTGCAAGTAACACATTTACCTAGGGGAATAAAAAAAAGAAAAAAAAAAAAGAGGTACAGGGAGAAAAGATGACAAGCGGTAAAAACAGATCTAAATCATGACATTTCACACATGCCAGTAAATCTACTTTTTAACTTTCATTATGAAAGTGCAGCAATCAGCAATGCTTAATAAAGCATACTGATTTCTTGCTTGCATTTGTCATAGGTATACCCTTTCAGAAAGTCACAGATGAAGGTCATAGGTTATGCCTTCAATGCTAGCATGTAAAAGCACTTTATTGTACTCAAATATTTGTTTTGAACAAATTTCAGATTCATGAATCAGAGCCAAGGTGAATACAAGCAAACGAAGCACAGCCCAAGAAATCAGTGAATAAAGAGTAAGACTGCACATTAAAGGCTCTGTGCCTGCTTCTCCGTCTGTGCTTCTGTACAACTCAAATCAGATGATTCACCACTACAAACTCTGTAGAAATATTTGGCTCACAATCATGCTGCAAATAAACAGTAGACTAAATTCATCCAAGATAGTGATATCATACAGAGATGAATCTGATCTATAAATCTTAATATAAATCTAGCCTAAGTCCTTCCCTTATATTAAGCATTTATTTTAGTTGTGCTTAAATTTAACTGGTCTCATTCTTCCACAATGAGGTTTGACTTTTGGCACCATCTGGCAGAGCTGCCTGCACCTAACCATCGGTCCAAAATAACCTACTAGGCCTTATGAGCAAAGCAAGTGTATATGTTTCTTTAAAGGTTTTTAGAAACATTCTAACATTTCTTACTGTTTGCAAAGGCACACAGGTTGTTCAGGTTGTCACTGAAATGACTGAGCAAATAGGGACAGCTAGAATTTCATGCCTGCTAGCAAATTATACCTCTAGTACTATATGGCTAAATTTTTTTGCTCCCAGTAATAACACAGACTGTTTACACAAACCTTCCCTCACTTGGCAATCAGTTTTCTTTACAGTCAGACCTTGTCATCACCACATCTGTATTTGTAGATCATCTTGAACTTCTTTCTTACCTTATTAATTTCCTTAACTTCTAAAAAACACTTTCCCTGCAACGAACAGAAACTGTGAGCCCTATTCAGTAAGGATTTAGAATCCATTCTACTTTACAGACCACAAGGTCTGAAGAGAGGTATTTGAGCAATTCAAATGGCATACAGCTTTCCAAAACAATGGCGAATCTTAAACTGAGAAGGGTTCAAGGCAGGTGGGGAAGCGCTTTTACAAACCTCTTGTGAGATTTACAATGTGAATATACAGAATAGGAAGAAGTGATGCCTTTTGCTCTGGAGAGCAAGGTTTCCAGGGAAACAGAAGGCCAAACGCATCCCTACAGACTGAGACTGTGCCTGAAGCAGTGATCTTGCTGGGTGCCCTAGAGAAGGTTAGATCAAAAGGGTGGTGAATGGACGGGAGGGGAAGCTTCTAAAATACTGCATTTTTGTTTAAAATATCACAGCAACTAGATATTTAATGTCAAGTATTTTCCATAACAGCTCTTTGAATCATATGAGCACCATATGGTGCAAAACTCTTTAGCTATGCTTTCCAGTAAAAATGTATTTGAAACAAATAACAAACATTTACTTCCATAAAGCTTAACAGCTAATTCTGTAAACATTATGCTCTAGCTATTATAAACAGCAATTGAAATGTTCATAGGAACATTTCGGAGCTACATAAAAGCCAAGGGAAAAAATGCCTCCTCTGTTATGATAGTTGACAGACATTACCTTTATGAAATGAAAGAGAATTAAATGAAAAATACAGAGCACATTGTAAGTACACCTTATCTCACAGTAACAAACTAAGAATAGGAGTGCGATAGACCAATAGTAGTATTCAGAGCCTTTATCAGAATCATTTTATATAAGGAAAAAATCCCAAAACATTAACTGGCAAAGAAGAGAGAACACAGACTAGAAAAATTGCCTTCAGTTACTATTCAAGAAGAAGAGGGCAGTTAAAATGTAAAAAGCCATCTATTTGAAATTACTGGGGGATGGTAAAAAACACAGCAATCAACCCTGTACAATCTACCTGTAAGACTTGCAACTAAAAGGTTTAGTTCACATAAGCCTACATGTGCAGACAATCTCCACACATAATCCCATACCACTGGAAAACATGTGGGATTCCCTTAGGATCTTTTGTCCAATACTTTCCTCAACAGCCCTGTTTGCCCTCACATGTGGGAAACCTGAAGACCTTCTTTGCTAAGTTCCCCTTACTATTTGTGGCAGACCTGATTGCCCACAGGCCCCTGGGAGTCAAAGGAGAAAGAGCCTGGAGCAACACACTGCTCTAGGTTTTGGTTACAATACAGACAAACATATACCAGAGTATTATGGAATATGAAACAGAGATGAACCTGCAAACTCTTACATGCAACTAGGCTACAAACTACTCTTACAGGAAGTTATACTCAGCTGGTCTTCTTCCTAATGCTCTCTTTTTTGTTCCCTTTCCTTGATTTTTGTTTTTTTTTCTCATTCTATCTGAATCGCCCCCCTCTTCTTGGGGCACAGCTACACAAGGCAAGAAAGGAATCATCTCATGCAGTATCTAAAACTTTCTAACACACATCTTTCACCATTGACACAGCTTCCTACATTACTCGGAGTACCTAAAATGTCTCATGAACTTCCATTTCAAAAGCATTGAGCAAATACCTTGGTACCAGAGCTGAATCACTCCCAACCTACTTTTAAAATACTGTTTGAACAACCTTACACTAATACTTACAGAGAGAGATTTCCTTTTCGAAAAAAACTAAAAAAGTTGCGAGTTTTGCTCTGGCACAATGAAATATACATGCAGTGTTCCACAACCCAGAAAAAGCTTAGATGTTTTCACACACACAAGCACACACTTCAACCCTGCTTCAAAAATGCCTTAAGCAGCCAATCTCTGATACTGGATTTTTAAACTCTTGTGTCAAGACCTGCATTCTCCCTCGTGATCCATGCAGTATGCATTCCACAGTTTGTGCATGTAACAGTATATTTAGAGCTTAGTGAATTTCACTACCTTGCCAAAATTTAAGCCCTTGAAGTATAAGATCTCATACAATAGCAAAATCTACTGCCTTGAGGCCAGTAAAACGTGATCAATGCATTCTAAAACTCACTGTATGTTAAAAAAAAAAAAAAAAAAAAAAATCAAAAATCTATGTATAAACAGCTTCTTCATCCTTGAGGATTTGGAATTTGCCAGGCAAGTCTTAAGCAATTTGATCCTATGTCAGATTTAGACCTACTATGAGCAGAGGGTAGGACTATACAATGTCCAGGGGTTCTGTCCCTTCCAATCTAAGTTATTCTGTGATGCCACAAAAACTAAAGCATTGATTGGCTATGTGACCCATACCACTAAGCACCGATTATTTCTCTCCTTCTCACGGCTCTTCATTAAGGTCAGTTTTGGTTAACTAAAGACCATATTATATCATGACTAAACTCACTGTCACAGACTGACTGCTCCAGTCACTTCATAACCACCCCTTGCTTCCTCTTCTCCCTAGCCATGTGCTCCTACTGTACTTCCCTGTAAATACCACTTTCCATTCCCCAGCCCATCAGTGCATGGTTCATTGATACTATCTCAGCAAAAGGGCTGTTTGCTCTTTCTGCAATGCCTAATGCAGGGTTCTCAAACAGCAAGAGACCCTTCACAGAATATGGCTGGCAGCTATCTCATCATGCTATAGCTAAGCAAGGAAAGCAACAGCAGGAGATAGGTAAAAATGCTCTGAAGATACCCAGGAAGACTGAGGGAGAGTAAGAAAACTCAAGAATGATGAACAGTTTTTAACTGTTTTACTGAAGTAAGATCATCTGTTCCAAAACCTTGGTTAAAACAAACTCATTCATGTCCTGATTCACATTGCTTTGGTAGGAAGTAAGTTACTGGCTTGACAGTGAAGCATAGAAGACCAATATTCCCTGAAGTATAAGGTCAGTTATAACAGCATAGCACAAAAAGGCCACACAAATTATCTAATTGCCAGAACTATCATAATGAATGTGTATTAAGAGGCAAAATTCAAAATAGAAAAAGCATTCACTTACACTGGATAGTGTGCAGGAGCAACTTATATCTTTAGGATCTGAAATACAATACCACACATAGTTAATAATGAAAACAAGCATAATGAATACCTCTTAAAAGACCAACCAGTAGTGTCATTTACTGATAATAAACAAACAGTTCATATAACACAGAAACAGTCCTGGTAGAAATGTGTAACTGTAACTTTAGAGAAAATGAAAAGGGTGCTGTGGTACTTTTCCCATGCTATGACCACATTAAGTACTATTCTGGCAGTCCAGCTCATTACAGCATTCTACTTATATCTGCATAAAATTTTACTTCCCGAGTTAGGCCAGTTACAGTAAAATAAGCAATCATAAGAGTCTACACAGGGCCAAGATGGGGCACTCCCTTTTATTTTCTACTTTAAAGTGAGAAAACTTCCTCTATCAGCTGACTTCTGTATTTCACAGCACATAATATGCATGTCATAGGTTGAATGAAGCACAGAATATATTGCAGACAGGTGGGACATTCTGCTAAGATACACTTGAACAATTTATACAGACAGTGAATTAATGACTGAATTCTGAAGTCTTATTCTCTCAGGTATACCAGAGTCTGAACAGATACACTCTTCAGACATACATGGGTTCTTCTCCATCTAGTATTCTAGACAGAAGTTCTTTTAAGTATCATCAAAGCTTGAGGAATATACTTTGCACTGGGTCATTTAGCTTAAACAGATGGTGTTCTTCACCCATAAAGAGCCCTCCATAGTTCTATTCCATTAAAGCACTTACGTTCAATAAGAAACAGGAAACAAACAATTCCCATCACGGCAATGATAACACCAGGCACCATGAAGGAGAGACCCCAACACGTAGACACCCAATAAGCAGCAATTAAGGATCCCAAGATATTTCCCACTGAAGTGTGTGAATTCCAGATTCCCATGATCAAACCTCTCCTGAATTTAAAAAAAAACAAACAAAAAAACAAAACCACACAAAAATTTCATTATTCCAATAATAAGCATTACTATTTTGAGAAAAGTGTATCAAAAATAATTGTTCATCTGGGGTGCCAGTGAAATATTTGCAATCTTACTGTTCTTTAACTGACCACTTCTTTATGCTACAGTCTTTCATCTGGCAATTTCAAAGACACCTAAATATTAATAGAAGTGTTATAAATACTTCTCTGTGCATGACACAATTCAGCCTGCATTTAAAGGCACCGCTAGGGCTTGTCTATTTCTGGACAGAGTTTCTTTGATAAAAACAAGCATGCAGATGTTGTGCAGCATGTGTGTGATAAGACTGTTGCTTCTGGGAATGACAGCCCTCCTGTAAACACATTGCACCAATGACTTCATCTTTTCTGGATATGTTAGATTTATCATGCAGAAGAAAATAATCTATACAGGATAAGCAGAGCAAATTCAGTATCTTCTGATCACATTCTGGACTTGCTAGGCACCAGAAGATAACATCTGCACAAGCCTGGATAACAGACACATCAAACTGCTGTCTGCCTGGAAATCACAGATTAAAGCTGCTGTAGAATAGTTCCAGCCAAGCTAAAATAAGCCATCAGAATACTGCTGAAGTCATGACAGTTAATAGGTTTTTCCCATGACTTACAAGGAAAGAAAACTGCCTTGCCTTCAGCAGGAGTCTACCTGGGACAACCTAATTTTAATTAAACCAAGCCTTTTCCTTTGGCTGAGACAAGATTTAAGAGGCCTGCTCATGTTACACAAAACACACAGCAAAATAAAAACAAGAATCGGATCACTGACATTCAAACCAAAGCTGTATCCATCAGTTCACTATGCAGCCTCCTAAAAGCAAAGGCTGTTGCTTGGGCACAAGCAAAATCTGAATAAATGTAATTGTTTTGCCAGGCTCGCTAAAGCGGTTTAACATTATATGATGGTTATCATTCTCTGCATTTTGTAACATTCACCACAAAGGCTGCAGGGACTATGGAAAACCAGTCTAAACCTACACCTTCTTAACTATGCTTTGATTTTACGTAGAAAGCGTATATTTAGTTTCCTTATGTCCCTTTTCTTCAACCAATTGTCAATTATGTTCATTCAATGGTATGTATCTACAATGAATGGCACTACAGTGGCATTATTATATGCTACATGCATCAAACATTGAATTTGGCATGCAGCTCTTGCAAAATTTAAGGAAAACTCCTGTATGACATGACAAAATAAACATTATGAGTGATCTCGATGCAGGATTAAAGGGGGGAAAAAAAGGAGGCGACTTAAGGAAAGTGACAAAAAGAAAGGTTAAATCAAGTGACACAGGTATTTTTTAAATTGCAATTTTTGAGTTTCTGTAAGTTGGTTAGGGAAAAAAAAAAGACATTAGGCAAAAAGATACTTTTAGAGTTACACACCAAAACTGCTTTGAAACACAAATGAAAACGTGAGACATTCCAAACTACAGTGGCATGATAACAGCCTTCATTGACAATAGCTTTAGACTGCTAATATTTGCTATAATTATTCTTAATTCAATTCTGAAATATTTCATCTGAAAAGCTAAACATCAGACTAAAGAGCTACCACAAAAATCTATTTTGATATGAGGAAGAGTATTTCAAACCAATGTATCAAAGATCTACCTGCTTGTTTCATCCCCAGAAAACACTGAAGCAAAAGAAAGATATTTAAATTGCTTATAATATTACAGCTCAGAATGTATCAATTTGTACTCCCAAACTCTGGATTATGTATTATTTACCTTCCTTTTCCAAACCAGTTGCCAATACATGTAACGACACTCGGCCAGCCAGTAGTTTGCACCAACCCATTAGCTATCTGAAAGTATATAAAAATAATAATAAATAAGCATAGCCTATAATAAATCAGGTTCCTAAGCAATCCCTGCCGAGTACTGCATTGGGAAAAGGAAGCCTACACAAATGCTTTGAATTTAGAAGTTTAGTGGGATTTTTGAAAAAATTCTTTTCCAAAAATAACCAAGTTACGAAGTTTCAGAGAGACTCTTCCTTCTACCTACATCTCTCCAATTACGTGTGATTTAACACAATCACACGTGTGATTTGACTCAATCACATGCTTATCAAAAAAATCACATTGCACTGAACTGAACAGAGAACTGAATTCCCACATTCAAACAGCAACATAGTATTTAGCTCAGTTTGAAAAGCAAAGCATACCTGCAACCAAACAAAGCAAGAAAAAATAAACTTTTGGGGAGACTGGATAACTTTGAACATTAAGCTTAACAGACACCTGTAAATAAATCGAGAAAACTACTACATTCAGCCTGAAGTAAGAACTATTTCAGCCTTCATGTTGCACAGATCATAATCCCAACTCATCTCAACTCAACCCCTAAAAAGCGTTTTAGCTAGAATTATACATTAAGACAGAGATCGCAGTGCAGTTATTCATAGAATCATAGAGTGGTTTGGGTTGGAAGGGACCTTAAAGAACATACAGTTCCAATCCCCTGCCACGGGCAGAGACACCTTTCACTAGACCAGGTTGCTCAAGGCCCCCTCCAGCCTGGCCTTGAGCACTGTCAGGGATAGGGCAGCCACAGCTTCTCTGGGTAACCTGTGCCAGTGCCTCACCACCCTCACGGTAAAGAATTTTTTCCTAACAGTGAATCTAAATCTACACGTACAATGCACATTTGAACATGCAATGAAGCAACCTCACTCTTCCCAACAAAAAAAAAAACAATTAGGCTGGCAGTACAAGACCACCCATGGTATTCCAGGATTTACTGACCACATCAGATGGTGCAGCACTGGTAGAGATTGTTAGCGTAACACTAGAGGAGACATCTCCTGGCTTGGAAACCACATGAGTTGGGGCAGTGACATGATTAAATGGATGACTTGGTGAAATGGTTATTAAAGCTTGCAGTACCAAAGTTAGTATTGCTGCACTACCATGTTGCACAATGCCATGCAAACATGCCAGTGGTGAAAGTGCTACTGCAGTGACACAAAGAAAGGGGCAGTGCAAGGTGCAGGCCTGTCTAATATGACTCAGAAATGCTAACCATATCCTGGTCCTGATCTACATTTAGTTTTAGGTCAATAGTAAATATTCTTGTGACACTTGATTAGATCTACAAGGGCTCTGAAAAATCCCACACAACAAATCTCGTTACAGAAGCTGCCCGTTCTCAGCCACACCAATGTGGGAGACTGCTCATCATTACCAGTATAAATGTAATTTTCCTGCAGAGAAAGCCAAGATGCGTCACTCAGGTCTTGGCAGACTGACAAAAGTAAATACTTTTGTTTTAAAGCTCACCCATATTTAAGCTTGCAAAGATTTGATCGCTAACTTGACACAGTCTGAAACACTTTCATTTGTTTTCAAAGATTTCTTCCACCAAAAAAAACATCTTTTGAAAATAAAACCTGGGGCTATCCACCCTATCATTTTTGCCTGTCATCAACAACAGTGTATTCCAGCATTTATATTCTTCCATTCAGCCACTAATCCCTGTTTACAGCTGAAGGAAGGAAAACCAGTGCAACACTAAACAGCACCATGGAAACCCAGGAGTATTGAAATAATATTCTGCCTACCTGGGCCATTATGTAAAACCACAGGTTATGTATATTACAGAAATAACCCAATCCAAACATTGCAGTGAAGAGTCCGCTAGCAAGCATCCCGACTGTCAGATAGTACCGGATAGGTAGCCGTTCTCCTATTAGTCCACTTGGAATTTGGAAGGAAATAAAAAGAAGGGCAGTAATTAAAAATCAGATCATATCCCAGGCCTTCACAAATCAAGATATTTTATGTTGCTTAATTCTGGTTGAGGAGAAACTTTACTGGTAACTGCTGCTCCTCTTCACAGCAGCAAATGAGCAATTTTTAGCACTTGACAGGAAAAAAGAAAACAACAAACATTTCATCTTTACTAGTACTGACATCTGCACAACCATCTTTCAGGGAGATGCTCAGCTGGAGCACACTGAAAGTCATTTATAGAGTCCTAATCCAAATGACCCCTAAGGTGAGGTACATCTTCAGCCATTTAAAGTGAGACTTGTCTCCCTCGCTAATGATTCTAGCTTTGAAAGTTCTGGGTAGAGTCAATAAAAAGCAGCATATCCAAACAGCAGCCAATATTGCACATTTTAAAATGACTTAAGCTTCTGTGCACTGACTATAAAGAAAACCAGGACAATTAGTTTCATCTACTTGTGCAGGTTGGAAACTGATAAAGTTTGAGGATGTATACTTCTTCATATTCCACAGGAAGGGAAGACAGGCTAGATGGCAAGTTCTAAAGCATTCCTGCACTAGGCATGCAGGGTGGGTGCAGGTAAGAAGCTTTCTATATGCCAACAGGTATGATACTGCTGGCGACACAGGATGACATGAATTTTTTCCCCTTGGCAACCAAATTCTCACTCTTTTCATCAGAAACTTTGCAGTAGGAAAGGACAGTATCTCAGTAGTAGCACAGCCTCATTAACAAACAATAAGCAATAAAGCAGGTATCCAAGAAAGTGATGCTTACCTTAAATACATCCCAACTGCATATGCACACAGAAATGAGTAATCCAGTGCTCCCAGTAACTGTTTGTAGTTGTTCTTATCTAAGAATAATTTTCAAGCCAAATTATCAGTTTAAATGTACCAATAACTTCCCAATCATTTTTATACACTAGTGAACATGCACTGACATTTAATTTTCATAAGGCACTTTTAGATGTAAGCATGCACTTCAAAAAATATTTTATTTAATAAACAAAACCCTCAAATCCTTTTTAACACTGACCCTTTTGTCTGTAACATACTATGAAAACACTGCTAGGCCCATTCTTAATTCCATCTTATTCAAAACAGCACTTTGGAAGAGAAGAGTGTAAGTTATTAGCAAGGTGCCGCCTTCTTATAGGTAATTATACAAATGAAACCCCAAACTGTAAAGGGCTTATTAAAAGTGGAAAGATGTGTTGCAACTGTGTGAGGTCCCAACAGTCAAAATGGCTAAAAAAAATGCATCATACATACTTTTAAGGAATCAGTTTAATGTATTTTTGAAATGGTTAAAGACTTCTGCGTTTCATTTTCCAACTGCTCAGAGACAGACATCTTGTTTAATAAAAAGCCAGAAAGGGGTCTGCTCTGTACAGCAAATGACCATAATTACAACTAAATAGGACTTTCAGGAAGGACAGAGGGAGCAGGAGGGACTCCACCCAGATAGAAACACCAAGGATAGCCTCAAGAGACCTGAGCTCATATTAAGAAAGACAGTTTGTCCATTTGCAAGGACCTGTAATTCCCATTGACTTTAAGAATAAAATCAGTTATTAAACCATTCCTTCTTTCAGTGTTACTCCCAGCTTGCCAGCTATGTTGCCTGAAAAACAGAGCTGAAAGAACAAGTCTAGAGTGTGATCCCAAAGGAGTAGCTTTGCAATAACCTGTGTTTACGGGAAAAGGATGACACTGGAGCTCAGAAGTCTCCATTAAGATAACTAATCAGTGTTTTAGACAAGCAAATACAGACTCCCTTTGATCCAGGGACAAGAAACAGCAAACAAGTTTAACTGCATCCAAACGCGTTTGGAAACCTGTGGGACCAAATAATTTCAGTAGATAGATTACCTCAAACCAGGCAGTTAATACACAGAATTTTGCCCACAGAAAATGCAGAAGTCAGATCTTCAATTACCATTGAACAGAGTAGGGCTTTTTTAATGGCTAATTAAAGAACAATTAGAATAGATAGCTAGATAGAATGGAGTGGGCTGGCATATCAGCAGAATGGACTATTCTACTTCACTGATGTTCTTGGCAGTGATAAAAGTGTCAAGGAATGATTCAAATTTAATTTAATTCAAATACAATTAAACTCAAATTCAACTGTAAGTAGGCAAATATTTTTTCTATCTAAGTGAAAGGCCAGGTTCATAAGCTATTCAGTAAGTTGTCAATTCTATTCTGCAAGTCTACCAATCTTCTCCATTAAAATGGAGAGACAAATATTCCTTCTGGCAAATAAGGACTCTGAAAAGTTCCAAATTAGATAAACACCTAGTAATTTTATTGAAATGATTGCTGGACCTTGACTTAAAACAGCAGGAAATAATGATTAATTTTATTCTTCACTTTTTTTCCTTAATAGCCATTCTGAAGATAAATAATAGAATCATAGAATGGTTTGGGTTGGAAGGGACCTTAGAGATCATCTAATTCCCAACCCCCTGTCATGGGCAGAAACACCTTCCACTAGACCAGGTTGCTCCAAGCCCCATCCAACCTGGCCTTGAACACTTCCAGGGATGGGGCATCCACAGCTTCTTTGGGTAATCTGTGCCAGTGCCTCACCGCCTTCACAGAAAATTCCACAGAACTGATCTACTGAAATCAACTTATAACAGGTAAAATAATGTTATTTAGGTGACATTAAGTAGTAAAGACATTATAAATCACCACTTAACTTTCTTCGTAAATATCAGTGAGAACACGGAGAACAATACACCCCTCCCATACACATCTCCTGAATCCTTCCACACATGAAGGAGAAATAGCAAGAGGCAAATAATCTAATTATGAACAACAGCTCATTATTATGAAGGAAAAAAACAAAACCAAAAATAAATAACCCTTACCAAATGGCTCCCAACCGCACTGAGATACATTAGATGGCTTTTTCGCAGACTGAATCTGGGCAGCATATTCTTTGTATGAGTTGAGTTCAACTTCATGTGAAGCAGCGCAATGCTTATGCAGCTCTCCCTGATGAAGAACAGGAATGTGAAAATGGAAAACTCACTTATGACTGTTAATCCCCATACAGCAACAAATTTAACACCTCTAGCTTTGTACGAACTTGTGTCAAACCCTCTGAAATCAGTAAAATTGTTAGACATTACTGTTTGGTATTTTGCTGGGTGAAGACACCATTACATGAAAGAGTAATTACATGGTTAGAAACAATAGGAGGCAGTGAACTGGTGCTTCTGATAATGAAGAATTCTGAAATTCTGCATTAACATCAAGCTGTTATTGTTACCCATTATTACTCATCAGTTATATTCAACACTGCCCTGGGGGATATGATTTGTGTTTAGCAAGTTACACAAGTTGAAGGTCAAACTAAGAAACCTAGAATCAGGTTATATTTTGCCACCAGCTTCACTGGGAAGAGAATCCCAGGTGTCCAGGCAAATATGTCTGTGATGCTCAACAGCACTTGTAACAGTCTCGTAAATGTTAGCAGAATTTTATCATGTTCAACTCATCACTTATGACTGACTTTTTCCAAACATATGAATGCAAACCTGGAAACTCCCAAGTGTCTATAATTAGATTAACGCACATGAATTAGGTGCAGGCATAGGTCTTTCAAGTCTTAAACCCAAAGATTAGACACATACACAATATTCTATGTGGTCTCACTACATGTTATCAAGTAAATGTCACTGCGTACTAGCTTTATCAGGTTTTCAGCTTTTAAACCATTCCAAGTTAAAGTTCAACACTGCCTTTCACAAAAGGAAATACTGAAAAAGGTGACTACTTCCGTGTTTGATACGAGTAGAAGGATGTTTAAACAAGGATGCAACCTTGCTTACCTTAACTATACTGATAGGTTTCCTTGATAAATGGAAGCTGGCATACAACAAGAAAGTGAGAGAGAAAATGAAGGCTCTGTACCTACAATATTTAAAAAAAAAAAAGGAAAAGAAAGTATTTGAAACTTATTTTATTCAGATTTACTTTTAGCACTAAGTCACACAACCATTACAAAAGTCACTGGTAATCTTCTAATAGCGGAAGACATTTTTTTTCCATGTTCCCTAACAGCCCGAAGAACCACTCCAGAAGTTACACTACTTTACAACATCTGCTGTGACCTGGCTTTGGGTGGGAGCTGCGTAGCACACAGGCACAGGACAACATCACGGTGCTCTGGAACCCACAGAGCCAATCCACCTTGTTTACAGCCATCCTTTGGCAGCTATTAAAAGACAGCTCAACATTAAACATATTTATAATCATATTTCACATTTCACTGTCTCATCCAGTTTTCTGGTATGATTAGGACATAAATTATAGCTCTGTGAACTGTCAGTTTGGCTACTGTGGGTTATTCCTTCTTTCATTCCTTGCTGCTTTTAGGATTTTGCTTTACTTTTGCCTTCCTCTATAACAAAAGAAATCGGCCATGACAGGGGACTGACACTGCCTGTGTGTACTGCCAGCTGGAGCACACGAACATAATTAACCAGCTGTGGGATTGTGAATTTTCCCTGGTACCTCCCTGGCATTCTTGGGTCTTTCTCTGCAGCTCATCTGAATTAAGGTTACCTCAAAATCCCTGTCACTGCAACCATTAAAGAAAGATAACAATCTGATCTATTCTATTCTCCACCTACAGCACATTTCAGTTGTTTAAGAAGGAAAGTGCTTTGTGGATTTGTGCTTTTTAACAATAGACAGATCACAGTGCATCGACTGGCTTCTGCTAGCCTTGATCTTAAACCTAACATTTGTAAATGAAAGGACATACATACATACAAAGATCTGATATCACACAGCCTACTACAGTCCCTAATTTTTAATGAACCTCTTTAAATAATTTTCTGCTTATGCACTTTAAGATAACAAGAGTCTTATTTTATAGTTCTGGCATATTCAGAGAGATGTTAAAAAATAATATAAAAATAAAAAAAGAGTTATCCTGCAGCGAAGGTATTCACCCCCGTAACTGAAAACATCCTGAAAGTGGTAAAACTGAAATTACTTTGTTGCTGTACTAGAGAAAGTATGGTAAAATTGCTCAAATGGAAAGTGCTTGGGCTTTCATTTGTTACTTTTTGTTATTCACACACAACTGACTCAGTTTTCTGTCTCTGAAAGCACAAGAACTAATGCCATCCAACTTCCAGGATTAGTTTTCCTAAAGCAAAGAGGGTTTGGTTTGGGATTTCTGAGGGCTGTTTTGTTTTGGTTTTAAATATTACAGTAGCAAGAACTAAAACTATTCTACAAGGGTATATTACACATCAAATCTGGGGGGAGAAAATACACTTCTGGTTCAGAGAAGAAAGCTAACCTCGAGCACCCCTCCCACCTAGGAGTCTGAACATAAATATCTGAAATTTACCCCTTCAAATCCATACCTTGCAAAGAAAAGGACAAAAGGCTTTATTCTCTAGTGCCCTTGACTTGTAAAGGTTTGTCTGGGTTCCCTCACAAAGTATCTCACTTTTTAAATGTCAGCCAGATTTATTTATTGTACAATTGTCTATATTTTCTTCTGTATATATTAAGCAAGGAGAAAGCAAATATAGAGCAAGGCAACAGTATTTGCCTTGCTCTGTTTCTGGTACAAACTCACACTGTTCAAAACAAAGGTTGCCACCATACTTCAAGACTTACCACTGATCTCGTGAAAATGAAGTGATGAAGCGAATCCCAGGAGGAAGCTGAGCCATCTACTCAACAGCTTGTATCAAATTTTAGGCAACACAATTATGCACTTCTGACAACGTTATTTGTTCTTCAGAATACATTACAAAGCTCCTCCCAAAGCCGTGTGATGATAGGCTGTTGAAAAATGTGGAAGATACGCTGCTGAGTTGATCTCCCTGTAGGCTTTTTTCCTTACACCTTCAGTCACAACGTGGCAAATTCTTTACTCTGCCATTGTTAATTGCTGATCTTCAAATAAAAGATGCTGATAAGTAAATATTCTTATCGAGTTACTGTAGTATTTTCCAATCGTAGTATTTGGATCAGCAGCTTCCCGTTTCAGAAACGGGTAATTACCATAACTAACCTAGACATCAAAAATTGAATGAAGAATTTTAAGCAAATATAAATAGCAGCCTTTTCTAAATTTTATCCTGTATAATCTATTTTTAGAAGTCAGCATAGCATAAAGCAGTGAGGACACAAGGGAAAGACAGAACACAATCCAAAGACAGCTGACATCCAAATGCAGTATTTTTGTCCCAGAAAGACTACACATAGGCAATTCCCCACCTTACAAAGATCTATTTTACTACATCAGAAACATTCAGGAGGCTGAAATTTGTTCAAAAATGACTATAGTGTTTTCAGACCAGAATAGACTCCTCCAGCCTGAGAGTGGGTGCTGCTGAACAATGCTGCCAGCAAGACTCAACCCGCACTCCCTCTTCCAGCCCAATTTCCCTGCCTCAGTTATCAGTGCTGCACAAAGCACCACATCCTCAGAAAACTCAGAAAAGAAACAAAAGAAAACCAACCAACAAACAAAAAGTGTTTTTTTTTCAGTACTTGATCTCTCTGCACCAGCTTGCCCAGAACCAGAGAGAGGTGTGTAAGTGAAATGCAGGGAAGAGAGAGACCATGGCAGCATCAATTTAGTTTGGTTTAAAATTTCAGAGCTTTCCTCCTGTTGGGCCAAAGCCCCTTAACAGAGGGGTAATACAGGTACTGCAACAGGAATTAGCTGCACTATTATTTCACAGCAAGTGTGAGCCAGCTGTTGAGTAAAATGATAAAAGGCACTGTGGGCAAAAGGTGTGACCACAACTCATGCATGCAAACAAGGCCTCACTGTGTGCTAACAGCAGAACCACCCCAGCAGGATGACAAGTAACACACTGGGGGCTACAACAGAACCCATACCCTCCTGGTAGCCCAGCTATTGGGCTTAACACCAGCAACAGCCAGTCATGCTCCTGATTGGCAGCTGTTGGCATACAGGACTAGCTCTCCAGGCAATAAATGGGAGGTAAACTAAAGCAGAAGAAAACACACCTGCCAAGACCAAAGGTTTGTCTTAAACTGGAAATTTTAGAGGCTGCCACAGGGCAGGCAAAGGTGTAAGCCTCTCTCCTCTCATCTTTATTGCCCCATTTTACTACAGAAATCAAAACTACTCCTCAGCCAGCTGAACTGCAATATCAAACATTATCTGCTGTGTCAAAGACAGCAACCGACAACCTCACTATCCACAAAGACTTGTTTCCCCCAGCAACAGTAGAAAACTACCACCTCTTCACATAACAGAGTACCCCACCAAGAGATCAAGAGTCTTCTCCTTTCTGATGAAACATTTTTGCCATACCTGTAGTTTTTCCACACCTTTGTTTTTTCCAGTGTCCTGGTTCAACTTGTCACCTCCCTCCCCTAAAAGTGAACTAACGTGTTAATCTCGTTTGGCATGTTCCACCACCTCCCCCTGGCCCTGCACCACATAACTGGCTGTGCAATTAATCAGCAAACCCCATAATCATTCCAAAAGGAGTTTCTTACCTCCTCTCTGAGGTTGCAGAGATTAGGGAAAGCGCAATCCTACACCCTCCTCCAGTCTCCCATCCAAAGCTGCAGGTCCCTGCCTCCCTCTACATCAGACCTTGTAGTCACAGAGCAATGGTTCAGGTGGCTGATCCATCAGAAAACCTGCTCTGAAAAACAGCTGGTCCAACAGAGAACATTAAGTCAACCTGTGGCCACAAAACTGTTACGTAGGATGAATCTGAAGCAGTAAGAGCATAAAGGCAGCTACTAAAGGTGGGACTCCCCTTACAGCCACGGCCCATTAGTTATGTCAGCTGAACTCCGATTTCGAAACAACTGCTTGTCACTAATTTCATGTTTGGTTGAAATGAGCTGTTGATAGCTCCAGTGGGAGAAGAAAGGCAAGAAGAGGTGGGCACAAGCATCTTACAGTAGGAGTGAATCTTTCTTCCAGCAATAAGAGGCCTATTTCAGGGTGATCCCAAACCCCACTTCTCCTATGTCACAGACATCCCAAACACTATACTATTTAACTGATCACGGGCTGGCAGAAATATCTACTAGGAAAAAAATGAGAGGCTAACAAAGAACAAAACTCTGAGGTCATAAACTTCTTTAAATGGTTCTCTTAAAATACAAAGGGACAAGGCAATTGTAAACATAGAAAAGTAACTGTTTAACAGGTTTACTGCTTTAGCGTAAGCAGAAAAAGACTTCACGCCTGGTACAAAAAGTTTCAGTGCTATAGTCACACAAGGTTGCTCATCTGTGGACCTGCCAGACAGATCACACTCACTACTACCTCCTAACAGTGTATCCCTGCTGTAAGACCGGAATCACACGGCCCTAGCAAAGGTGACTGGACTTCATCAGTGTTTAGAGAACTGCACTCTAACCATCTGACTGGGCCCGATTTCATTTTACCTGCTGCAGGCAGAGATGAGTTTTCATTTACTCATCAACAATCTCTTTGTCTCCATACATCCATAAGTTCCTCTGACATTCCCGTGCTGTTAACAAGCAGAACTTCCTCCACAAAAGCAAAGAAACTAGTGGCAATAAAATTCCTGACAACAGGCTATAAAGATCACATCCTCCTGTAGATTAAACCAGATTTTTAAACCAAGCTATTCTTTAGAATGACATTAACAGGCTACAACACATAACTGGTAGTTCACCACTACACCCTTTACGCTTCCATTTTACTAATGAAGTCCAAGGAGAAACTCCAATTCCATCACTCAAACCGGTTTTATGTTCTTTCCTTTTCAGCAACTATTTTCCCTGACAATTAAAACAAATACTACACTTTCTCCTCATACTGTATAAAGCAATACTCTGGTACTTACTTTGAATCCATATTTACCTTAAAACTTTGTATTGCTCCTTCAGGCTTCCTGCTGCACTGGCTGAAACATAGCTCCCTTCCTGTTTCAGGAAAACACCACCGTTTGTGACTGGCCTTTACCACTGCAAACCTTGGCTCAGCTGTGCTGCACGCTGGGGTACCAGAGCGAAGCTCCTGCCTGCTCCTATCCCCTTCCCCCCGCACAATTCCCCTGGAAGACAGACATTAATTCTGTGTACGAAGGGACAGTGGGTAATGCACGTCCTCATCAGGGTGCCCTTAAGGACTCAAAAGGCCTTTAAACACGTGCAGAGCAAATGCATATTGTAATTAATTCCCAGCAGCTCTGCACCTGAGCCATAAACTGCCAAATCCGTCTCCTTCGGACCTTAAATGGCTGTATTCTTTCCATTTAATACACAAAGTGGAAAACGGTTAATCCTGGCTTAACAGGGGACAGGAACCCTGTGAATACACAGTGAATCCACACCTGTGTCCCAGCACCCGGTATTAATAACCGCAGCGGCAGCTACCGCAAGACAAGATGACCCTGTGGAATCAAGGGCAGTCACCCAGCCTCTCCAAAAGTCGGGTATAGGCCAAGGACGTAAGCACAGCCTCACCGCGGGGCCAGCCCAAGGGAAGGCGGCACGCACACACCTCTCTTTCGGCGGCCTTCCCCAGCAGTACGAGGCGCAGTGACCCTAGGAGCCGCTGCTCGCAGTCCACGGGAGGATTCAAGCAGCTCAGCGCCAACCGAGGGCTGGACACTGCCCTTGGGTCACAGCTGCTCCGTAGGCGCCCTTCGGGGCATAAGCCAGCGGCTGTTCCCGCCGCTACCAACGTTAGCCCCTGGTTCGCCAGGGGCGCCCGCAAAACAACCTTCCCCCTGTAGGGCGTCTGACCCCACCCGCTGGTGGAGCCCGTAGGGAAATAAGAGGGTGAAAGCAAGACAAAAGGTGAAGGAAAGCGAACGGAGAAGCTAGTGCAGCGGCGTCCGGGAAGGCGAACGCCTGAACCCCGGCAGCACCGCAGCTCCTTCTCCACTGCTACCGGCGGACACTCGGAGCACCCCACGCTGCCGCCCCGCCCGGCCGCTTTTTCCGAGCAGCCCCGCGGCAGAAGGGGCCGATTCCGCCGCACAGGCGGGAAGCGCCGGCGACGCCCCCGCTCCGCCTCCGCGGCGGGCACGGCAGGTGCACGGCAACCCCCCCCCCCCAAGCCGAGCTTACCCGGTGCCGCTGCTCTCTCTGCCCTGCTGCCACCGGAAGCTTTCTCCTTCCTGCCCGGCCTGTGCCGCGCTAAGCCGAGCGGCCGGGCGGCGATCCGCAGCCGCGCTCGGCCGCGGGAGCTGCGCGGCGGGACCGGTCCGCCCGGGCCCCTCCCCGCCGCGACGCCTAAGGGGAGGAGGGCGCCCTGCGGTGCAAGGCTGGGCCGTGGCTGTACTATGCGGGACTCGACTCGGGGCAGCCGGGTACCCTCGCAGGGTCGGGCCGGGCTGTGGCGGAGGTAGTTTCCCCGCCGAGGTCTCGTCCGTGCCGGCCCCGCTTCGGTGAAGCCTGCGACGGGAACTGTAGCCCCTGGCGGGGCCTCGCCACTGAGGGAAGAGAAAAGCGGCTGTCCTCTCAGACCACCTGTCACCCCGGCAGCCTCTCCCATTTCCCGGAGGCGGCCCGACCCTCTGCACCTTACCCGTCATCGCTAGGGAGAGCTCCAGGCAGGACCCGATCCCGGGTCCGGCTCTGCGTACGGGTGCTTCGCTACAGCGCTTGTCAGTTGCCTACCTGAAATACGGGAAGGTATTTCTGGTGCCTAACCGCAAATGTTAAGAAATTGCACAGCAGGGTCATCCTAAAACTGGTGGGGGAAAAAAAACAAGCAGTAGCACGTCTTTAAATGTTTGCCTTCTGGTTTCCTAACCATGCAGTACTTTTTCATTTTCAGCAAGTATTTCAAAGCTTAGTTACTTATATAAATATAGATTTCCAGCTGCAGCTGTATTTCTTTATCATGACCACCTCACCAGCATGGATAACCCTTACACTGTCTATATTGTCCAAAATGGAATAGCTGCTAACAGTTACCTTGGGCAGGTTTTAATATCTCTGTACATCTATATGTCCCTTATGGAATATCGCCTGCCCAGCACAAGCAACCGAGTGAGGGCACTTGTTAAAATGTTCTATTTCATTTTGTCTCTTCCCTCTCTCCCTGCCTGTGCTGGTAATACCAGTGAAAGGAACTCTTTGGCTTCCGGTATGGTCTTTCTCAGGCCCTGCATACTCATTTTTGCTCCAGGATCCTCACGGCATCTTTCCTTCCCCCCATCCCAGTCAATAAACATGCCCTTCTCCCTTACAATGACATTGGCAGAACCAGGGTCTTGGAGTCACACTCAGACCATTGCGAATGCTGATACGTGTTACACAGTCTACTGCTTTTAAGTGCTTCACTGGCAGATGTCAGTTCCTGCCCAGGCTCACTCCTGGCTGAGGTTTGTAAGTAGTGAAAGCACACACTAACATCAGATATAGGTGGGGCAGTTACAGCCAGAGCAGAGCAGCTGTGTAGGCTGATGTTTGTTGTTTCTGCTGCAACAACCATTTAGCAAAAACAAACCCAGTCAGGGAACATTTCTCCACCTACAGTGATTTCATGAATCAGGTGTCTGCCCTTTCTTACCAGCACAGGAAGGCATCCAGGCCTTCTGACAGGCACACACACACACCGAATAATGAAGATTTGTCTCTTTACAACAGAAGAAGTCAGACTCATCAGAGAGTATTTGTTTGTATATGTGATTAGCCATCCTGAATTATCATAACAACTATCACCATTATGTGAAATACTTGTATTTTTTAAACTGCGGTTGGCCTGGCCCTTCTTAAGTTCCTTGAGAATTTAGCCTTGCTTGAGTATCTATCTTCAGTTACAGGCAACTTGCAAAAAGTACAAGCCACACAGCCATAGAACCCCCCGATATTTTAAAGTAGAAAATATCTCCCATTAAAATAAAGGTCCTGTATAATCCATTCCTGTAACATCACTGAAACCTGCTGGCTGCCATGCTTGGCACAGCTGCTCTCTGCTACCCCAGTGCTGATCACCGGCAGCTACAGTTGCCAGAAGCCATCAAGTAAGAATACACAGAGCAGAAACAGCAAGAGCTTGTGCTGCTGGCTGCAGAACAGCCTGCTAATGTAGAGTGTTAAAGAAGGGCCAGGTGTCCATCCTTTATTCGTCATCAGAAGTAAAAGGAGGTCTGCAGCCAGGAGTAATGCTTTATAAAAACAGAGCACAAAAACCAAAACAACCAGCCAAGCAAAAAACCTATATGAGCCTCACCAAAAATATTAGAAAAGACATTTTGCCAGTTCCTTTCTAGAAGGAAATACAAATGAGGGATACAGTCCAGCAGATGGTTGTGTTGGGTAGCAAGCATGGCAGCAGCTTGGATTTCTGAGCCTCTGGCAATGTTCACGCTAGAGGAAATAGGGGCATGTTCTTGTCTGCAAAACCAAACAGCAATAAAGATGTATGAGCTGACAGATGCTTACGTGTGCTTCTGCTGACGCGTCTCTCAGAAAAGATAATCTAATTTCCTGGTTGACAGTTAAATTCTACTTCCACTGAACGTGAGTGGTGTTCTTAACTCCTCAACTCCTGATGTAGCAAACCACTTCAAAGTCAGTGGATGTCAGCATAGGCTTTCCTTTGCTGAATAGGTGATGATGGCTGAACAGAGGTTTAAATGCAGACCATTGCACCGTTTAGCTGTCTATGTATTTATTTTCTTTCCAGTAGATTGTAAAAGTCTATTTTAAGATTCGTAATTGTACAAGCTAATGTTTTGCCACTGGGTACTCTCTTTGTCTTAGAGGATGAGAAAAGTTCATAACTTCTTTACGTAATAATGAGTTGTTAAATAGTGTTTTACTATATGAAAATTGATATTTACTTAGGCTTTATTCCACACAAGTAGTAGAATTCTCAGGACTGATATAATCACAGCTTTCAGTTGTCTTTGTTAGTTTTACATGCTTTGTTTTCCCAACAGAGAGCAGCAATTAATATCAAAACTGGGTGCAATCCAACTATAACCTGCCATCGAGCTATGGCAGACAAAAAATTGTCTAAAAGATCCGAAAAAAAGGAGGCTGTAAAGGCTCTGCTTGCATATATGGGAGTGGACAGGCAGAGCCCTGCTGTGGCCACACTAAGAAAGGGCTGGAGGCAAGCCAGCTGTGATCTGGAAGCTATCTAGTTGAGTTAGCCAGTATGTCCTGTCTGTTGATGAGAAATTTTAGTGCTGGCACAGCACCATACTGACTACATAGTTTCCAGACCAGTATTTTCATCGCGTCTGGCTTGCCAGAAAGCAAGGGAGAGTCACCAGTCAGTAGCTTCAGACAAGACCACTGAGCCAGCACAGCCTTGTCCCCAGCCAGAGCAGGATGGTATGCAAGTACTAAAGGCTACTTAGGAATAAAAAAAACTACAGCATGTGGAAAGTGGAAAGGGCAGTAAAACTGCCTCCAGGCCTCCTACATCAAGATAGATATCGCTATGACTGCAGGAGACCTTTAGGAATGACATCGTTTATTTCAACCCCGTGGGTCACCTATCAGTCCCCAGTTCCAGTCAGAAAAATGAAATAACTGGTGCTGGCAGTATGCTACTCTGACTGTCCCCAAGGCTTTCCAGAGGGAGAATGGGAATGGAAAGACACCTCGTGCTATCTAAGATCTGTAAGAAAAGCAGTAATAGCAACAGTGGTGTCTGTTGGGTAGGATCTACTGGAGGGAGAGATCAGGAATCAGTGGTCCCTGCAGCTAGGATGAAGGTTTCCTGGTTAGAGACCTAAATCATCTTTCATACTGTTAGCCATATGCTTGCAGGAAAATGAACAAGAACATACTGAGAACACAGAACCTTAAAAAAACCCAAACACAACCAAGCTGTATTATTATAAATGGAGTCTGTAAAACAATATATAGACCATCTGTCATTACAAGAGAACATCTATTTTGAGGAGCTTATCTTGAAAAATTTATTTCTGCTTCCAGTAGGAAATGGAAGAGTTTCTCCTGTTATTTTGTCCTTTTTTCTATTCTTCGTAGATTTCTGGAGAGCTGAGTGGAAGTGTAAAAATGGCTACATAAACAATTGCTGAGTGGTAAACAGATTGAAAGAGGCAGGTAGACTACTGGTATTTTTCATTTCTCCGTGCTCACAAATGTGATCAGGGGAGGTAACTATATGAGAAGAAAGGACTGAGGCATATTTTAATAGGTATCAAATACCAGAACAGTTACAAATACCATGGTAAAACAGAAACCAGACCAGAACAGAGAGCTTAATTTAATGAATTGTCTTGTGAGTCATGTATAAGATGAAGTATGGAGATATTCAAGCTGACAGGAATAAGGAGACAGCAAATCAGTCCCATCTACCTCAATTGTTTCATTCTTCTCTGTTGAATTCTTTCTGAGTTAGGACTTCAGATAGTATGAACAAAAGAATTGGGGTGCTTTAGTTTTACGTCATTACAAGCTATGCCTGACTAAAGAAGCTTAGGTTTGGGGTTTTGTTTGTTTAATGAAACAAAACCCACTTCCAGAGAAAAGTAAAGAAAAATGTAGTATTAACACTGCTTTATTCTTACACTGACTATGTGATAGTTTTTATGTCACAAATGCCAACTGCTTTCTTCATAGTAGTAGTAACACTGTCATAAAAGTCTTCAGAAAATATATTAGCCACAATTTCCTAAATGGAATAGAAGTGACCTGTGTATGTCCCTACTGCACTTTAGTGGAAAGGGAGAGCCCATAGGTAAAAGATAAAGCTGACATATTTCCTATATGTCTGAAGAACAGAATGCACTCTGTACTTCAAAAAGAGCAGTAAAGTCAGAGAAATGGGAGGAAAGTTATAAATACAGCATAATGCTTTCCCTTGGATACCTTGCAGAAGGGAACTGAAAGGTTATATTTGGCCAAGATGCAGAAGTATTACCGGTATTCCAAGAATAGCTTCATGCAAACCATGCTTTTCCAATCATCCTACCTTCAGGATATCCCGATGTTAATTGTATTTGGAGGAGGCAGTTGTAAACTGAGTGGCTTGAAAGGTCATTTACTTGTTTTTCTGGCTTGGTTGAAAGCACAAAAAGAGGTTATCTTCACTTAACATACAAACATACTAAGCAGCTTTCTTTTCACCCATAAAGTGCTTGAAGAGAGCTGTGCGGACAGAAGTTCCCATTTTGCAAAGGATTTTGACATTTCAGAATCCAATTTCATTTTGAATTGGAGGGAAAAAAAAACAACACCAAAATACATGGAAGTTAGTGATAGAAAATGCCACTTTGTCCACTGTTTGCAC